GCTTGAATATATTTCTTCTCGAGTGTTTGGCTGCCAGGACCATGGGCTTCCTGACAAGGCACTCTGGCTTGCTGAATTAACTCTTCCGTAAGGCTAACAAGCCTTTGCAATGATCATTTGGAAAAGGAATTATTACAGAAATACCTCAATGAACAGAACAGTCTTCCCTGATTAACCTGGCCACATGCTGAAAAGATCGACAGAGGACACGGAGTGCGCTAGTCTGAAGCACCAGGGCAGGCGAGTAGGAGTCAGAACTCCTTCCTGGCCTCTGTGGAGCATTTTCTCAAGGTAAATGGTCCCAGAGGCTTTCTGTTCTGGGCTCAATATTCAGTCATCTCTACAGAGCATTCTTTAGGAAATAAGCAGCAGGTCTGGAAAATCTTAGTTATTTATTCAGCAAAAGCAAACTCTTTGGACAAATACCATCTTGATGGTATTTACCTACAGGTGAACAAATTATAATAAGAACACGAGACTTCTTTTAAAGCAAATAAAAGTAGGTGCTAAAGGAGTCAAAGGAATTTCTCCGACTATCACTGAAAGCACGAGAGTATAACACAACGGTTTCAAAATCTTCATGTGTGTATCCATCATTCAGGGCTGTTTGTTTAAAACACAAAAAATCAAAGTGAACTGAACTGCCCAGAAGTATATCCTCAGGATGAGTTTTCTGAAAACCACAGTGTAACAGAAACATTACCCATACAGAAATGAGTTCTAGTCTAGCGTACAGTTAACTAGCTGTGAAATGAGGCTAGTTGCTTAACTTTCCAGAAACCATTTTTTTCCTTCCTATTTCAGATAATCGTTCAGGTTCATTCAAATTTCTAAAGATCTCAGAACTAAAACAAGCACCCTATCTCCCAACTTAAATAAATGCTTGTTGCTACTCCTGAAGCTTTCATAACAATGTTCAAGCAGCAGAAACTGCGGTTTGACTGCTTCAGGAACCACTGTAAGTCACTGGTTACTTTAATGAGTAAAAAGGATACTGGAATATGAAGTTATGAAAGTAATTAAGAATGTTAAGCTGTACTTACTACATGTCGAGCTCTAAGTACTTGATAGATATTAACTCACTGGGGAAAAAAAGGACAACAAAAGGTAATCTAGAATCTTGAAACCAGTGATGTATGGTAGAAGAGATAATGGTGAATATTAGAGTGTAACTAGTATTAAAGCTTTGGCAATATTTAGTGACAAACCATGAATATAAAATGATGATAAAATGACTAATGGGAATGGACCATTGTGTGTATAAAGCTGGGCCTCTGGAATTGTGAACTATTTTTGATTCAGTAGGGAAGTATCTGTCAGGACCATGTATCACATGCTGAAAAACCTGAAGCATTTAACATGCGTGTGCTTTCTCTGTAGATACACAAGTACTTTCTTGATACTGCCCGATTCCTTTATGCATCCTTTATTCCTTATGCAAATCTATGTTCCAGGTTTTCAAGACAGTAGCAAAGCGTTAAGACACACAGATTTTTTTCCTGTTTTACATTTGGAAGAGGTTGATTCAGAGAAACAATGAGTCAATGAAGCAATGACTGGTTTATTTCCAAGGGCAACACACAGACTGGGCATGTGTCTGAAAAACCAAATTAAATAATCCTAAATGAATGCCATTCCACCCTCGACTACAATCACAATCTCAGACTGCAAGCCCAGGCTCCAGAAGGTTAAGGCCAGAAGACGAACAGACTAAGGAAGCTGAGCCCTGGAGATACCAAGTCAAAAGATACACTTAGGAGAGACATGAAACTCCCTGCTTCCTCCATGCAGTTCAGTAACAAGCTCTGCACAGGGTGAGACCATTCAGAAGAGAAAAAGTTCTACTTGCTTTCTCTTTCTTTTCATCCACTGATGCACACATACTCTAAAGGCCAGGGGCCGACAGATCACCACCACCCGTTTTTGTACAGCACATGGGGAGAAAAAAAACACACCAAAGAGCAGATTTTTACATTGATTTTTAATGATGAAAAAAAAAATTCAAAAAAGAGTATTTCGTGATATGAAATCATTTCACAATATGACATGATTGTACAATATGAAATGATTTCACAATATGAAATTCAAATTTCAAAGAAAAGAAAAAATTTTTTTAAAAATAAATTCAAATTTCTATGAAGTTTTTATCAGAACAGTCAGTCAAATGCTTGTTTACAGGTGGCCTGTGGCTGCTTTCGCATGCAACAGCAAAGGTGATTAGCTGTTACAGAAACTGTACATACCACAAACTCTGAAGTATTTATTCTCTGTCCTTTATAAACATGTTCGAAAACTTCTCCAGGAAGAGAACATACAGAGTTAAATGGGGAAAAAAGGCAGAAAATGCGACACAGGGAAAATGCGAAAATGTCTACGCTTCCTCCTTTCAATCCACAGCAAGGGAGGGCAGGTCAGAGGTCAGATTTCATGTCACTGTTAAGAATGCTGTGAACACTAGACCTGAAGATCCTCACAAACTAAAAATCCCATCAAAGTATGCTTTCTCTAACTACATGGAGTGGAGGCAGACACAAAGCAAAGACATACCCCAGCAACAACAGACAAATTACATGGTTCTCGAATCCTGAAGCTCCATAGGATAAGCCCGCAGTAGGGAGCCTGGGGTAAGAGTTGGGGAGGATTCTAGAGTAGAACCAAACGAGAAGCTCCCATTCTAGCATTCTAGCAGGCCCTGACCTTGAGCTAGCCAAGGGGCTATTTGGGGGCCTACTGCTTCTATCTGCAAAATGACGCCTCATGCCAACCAGAGGAGTGTCCTCTCTCTCGGCTTCTAAAACTGGAGGGAAAATGAGAAGAGGAAAGGAGCAACTTTAAGTCAGTCAGACAGAGGAGAAATATCCTATGGCAGCCCTTATATCTGGAGTCTAAAAAGAAATGATACAAATGAACTTACTTACAAAACAGAAACCAACTCACAGACTTCAAGAAGGCAATTAACAGTTATCAGGGGGAAGGACGGGAGGAGGGGAGAGTCGGGAGGCAGTTCAGGATGGAGATGTGCACACTGCTGTATTTAAAATGATACCCAACAAGGGCCTGCTGTCTAGCACAGGGAACTCTGCTCAGTGTCATGTGGCAGCCTGAACGGGAGGGGAGTTTGGGGGAGATGGATTCACATGGATGTACAGCTGAGTCTTTTCAATGGTCACCTGAAATGATCACAACATTGTCTGTTTACCAGCTATACCCCCAATACAAAACAAACAAACAGAAACCCAAAACAACACAGTTTTGCTTTCTCCTTTGTAATGGTTAAGATACAGTCAGGACAGAGCTATCCTCATGAGAAAGCACAGGGTCTGTGGCCAAGCCTCAGGCTGTATACAGGACGCTAACCACAGGACTTCATGTGGAGGGTGCAGAAACAGAGGTGTCTGAATTCCAGGATGTTGAGTTTCTTCCTTCCCCTTTGCAGGGGCTTCTGGAAACAGACACGTTACCCATGCAGGGCGTGTTCTCTTTTCTTTCCCCAGGGGCAAAAGCAACACTGGTCTGAATAATGCCTGCTGCACAAGTAGCCGCCCAGGCGTTAGTCATGAGTGTTATTGGTAATAAGGGGTGGGCGAGAACAGTCAGCACTCCCTACCACCGCAATCCAATAAAATGAAGCTTGTTTATCCCAGTCCACACACTTGAAACAGCTTGGAAGGGTACCGTTCTGTTTTGCAAACTGGGGTGATTCTATGAAAAATACTTAGCCCTCTGAAGAGCAAAAAAAAAAAAAAAAAACACACCCTCAAGTCTAGACAAGGATGGCTAGTTTTCTGACGGGCAATGTGATTTACTCCAATAACTTGATTTTCCAGCCAAAGATGTGTGGGGTTTTTTTTTTTTTGTTTCTTTTTGTCGCTTTTAAAAAAAAAAACAATCATGGCATCTAAAGCTTAGAGCACTGTTCAATAAGTTTATAAGTTCTCTTGTTTTACAAGTTAATAGTTTCAAACAAGAACAATAATCAAGACTCTGAAAAAAAAACCACTTTTGAAAACTTACTGAATACTAAATATTGAATTACCACATGAGCCAACACAATAATTACTAAGCATATAAAAACATATGTCCATACAAACGGACAGTTCGTTAGCAGTTACTATTCACAACTATTCAGCCAAAAAGTAGAAACAATCCAAATATAGAAAAAAATATGGTACATCCATACAATGGGTTACTACTTGGTAATAAAAAGAAACTAAATACTGATCAATGTTACAGCATGGATGAACTTTGAAATTATACACTAAGTGAAAGAAATTAGTTACTGAAAGCCACATGTTCTGTAACAGAATTTGTATGAAGTTCTGGAAGAGGCAAATCCTTGGAGATGGAGAGACTGGTGACTACTGACTGAGGTGGGTAGGGGAGAACTGCTAATGATTATGGGTTTCTTTTTGGTGTGATGCCCATGTTATAAGTTAGACAGTGGTGTTGGTTGCACCACTCTGTAAATGTTAAAAAAACCACTGCACTGTGCACTTTACCTGAATGAGTGAATTGTATGGTTATGTGAATTATGTCTCAATAGAGTTGTTATGAAAATCTAAAAAATCTTTTTTTTAATCATTAAAAATGACACACTTCCTATTTCAGTCAGTATTGGGTTTCAAATTAAAATATCACCTTTGCTATCAGTTTCTATATAAAGAAAGAAGAGTCAGGTTTAAGAAGTGTCAATAGATCCCTTTTTGTGGTAATTCCCATCTTGAGACATGTTAAACCTCATGACAAATTGGAAAGTCTTGTGCTCACAGGGAAAAAAACCTTTTTCATTACAATCTCCAAGGGATCCCTGTAGGGATCTAAAACATCCATTCCAAAACGATGCTGTGTAAAAGCTTTACCGAACCATGTCCACATTTGCATATTAGGGAACACGGGAGAAGGGGAAAAACCCTACTGTGAATTTAAAAAATCCCCCAGATAACGCCACAGAGCAGACACGCAGAGCAGGCTAAACACATTTTGTGCTCGGACAGACTCACCGCCTGGGTCTTCGGGCCTTGTTTCACCTCCGGCGTAGAAGTTCTATTTCCCAGAGCCGCCTCTTCAGAAACTGAACTCTCCCGGGTGTTACTCAGAAAATCCACTTCATCTTCAGCTTTCGTGTCGGGCATTTCTAGGGAGAGCAAGGTGGTTACAAAGTGCATCTGAAAAATTGATTCCCTGGCCTTTCTATTTACGCAACTTGCTCCAGGTTTCATGCATTTTGTTTGCTTTTGCCCCCCCTTTTTTTTTGCATTAAACAGCAAGTATTGTTTGGGAGCTGGTGTCATTTCTGGCCCTGTGCTGAGCCCTGATCACAGGGGTGTGTGGTTTTCTCCAGCCTCTCTGTGTGGGTTTGTAGCTAAGGAAATATCTTGTTCAATGCCTACTGAACTTCCATTTTCACCATTAACTTTTCATGATGATTCTATGAGTGTGGTGCTTACTTGCACATGGAGCAGAAAACTTACAAGCTTTAAGGGAACCAATTAACAGCTACAGCTAGTAGTCAGCCCATCTTATTATCACAGGGGCAAGACATACTTGCACAGGACAAGAAGAATAGAGCTGCTGAGAATGAGATAAAGCCTTTGGGAAGAGTCTTTTAAAAACATACTAAACACACTCATCCACCTAAAGTATCCTGAACAAATTAGATTTTAACTTTTATTTCTTTCCAAACCAAAACACACCAGCAGGACCTTTTCTTAAGAAAAAATTTCTCATGTTTTCTTTAGACTGATGCTCAACAGACTAAACAGTAGCGGTTTTGTTACCTGACCACCATATGGTCAAGCTAATACAGGAAGGAAGAGATAAAATGATGCCTGAGACAAATTTAGGCTTTGACACTTTTTTTAAAGGGGACTCTGATGGCTGAACAGTCAAAATTCATGTTGATAATCCAAATACAAATAGAACTATCATTTCGATTTCATTTTGAAAATGTTCTATGATTATTAATCTAGTGACACGACTACTCTGGCAGAGAAAAATGCTCCCTACAACAGAGGGCACAGAGGTTTCTTTCACCAAAGAATAAATTTTACAGTATAGTATATACTTATTATATAATAATCAAGTATATTAAGATCGTATTTTAGGGGTGGGAGGTGGGAGAGAGGCTCAAGATGTAGGGGACATATGTATACTCATGGTCGATTCAAATGGCAGAAACCAACATAATACTGCAATTATCCTCCAATTAAAAATAAATCTAAAAAAGCACACTGTGACATGTATAAAGCTCTACTTTAGATTTAGGAAAGTTACATTACTATAAATGAATACTTGTAAGTCTCCTTTCTTTGCCTTTATTTTTAATTACATGATTTTACTAGCAATTTAAAAAAAAAGGGCAAACATATTGTTTTCCAAAGAACGAAAATCTGTCTTCCATAATATGTGATTAAAATTAAAAAAGAAAAATCTGACTAGGCAATCCCCTTAAATATTCCTTGATTAAAACATTTCTGAGTGAGTAGACAAATTTTTTTTTTTTTTGGTGGGGGTCGGGGGACAGGTGTTGATTTTTATTTCATTTATTTGAAGATATGATTTCTCATAAATCCTTACTATCCTGATGATAATATCCATCACCTGAAAATATGTATCCTGGCAAGCAGCAACCAGTCAGAGCAGTAAATAGAGATTACTGGGACTTGCAGGGTGCTGGCAGCCCCCAACAGGACCAACCTGGCTCCGTCATGCAATACTAACTTTCCAAAGCACTGTAGGCAATGCTCTTGCTTATGTATTGGGCCCCATCCCCTCATTCGAATTGGAAGGTATGTGATTTGCTCCTCCTGATTTCTATTTGGCCCTGCCAACGGCACTACATAATAAAAACAGAGGCCAACACTATGTGGGTCCTTCCAAACCAGCAGTTACACTGATGTCTGCCCACTTACAAAGTAGTAGAGTTAAATTCATAAGTGGAATGTAAACTTCCTAGAAAATACCCTTTGGTCTGAGATCACACTTGGGTGCTTTTTCTCTGGGGCAACGTGACCAGGGACTTTCCCCAGTCCTGGCTATTTTCTGAAAAAAGCACCCATTGCTTCATCACTGGGTACTTCTCCCTGTCCTTGGAGGCCATGAGCATGGAGCACACATGACTCCTCGAGGCATCAGCAGTAACTCTCCCACACACATCCACCAACTCCAAGACCACAGACGCTGTTAAAACTTGATTTCTGTCTCACCTCCCTTCCTACAGCCTTCAAATCTTAAACGTAATTCCTTGGCATCCTTAATATATTTGTGTACTACTAAAAATCAAAGTCTGAAATTCTTCTTGGTATCTACCTTTTCTCATAAGGTACTCTGAACACAAACCTTACTTAGTCTGTACTTACTTGGGTTAAATTGTGACTACTGAGCCGGAAAGAGAAATAATTCCAGCCCATGTGGCCAAAGACGCAGCACCCAAGTGAAAAGAACACAGCCGGGCATCAGCTTACAGCCACTCCCATTCTTCCAAAATGTCACCCTGCCAGGGCCCTCAAAATAGACCTGTTGTTGTGCCTTATTTTAAAAATAAGAGACCTTCTTATTTAAATCCTGAGATTGACAGTGACAGAAATTTGTTCATGGCTAACAATCCAAGATATTAAGAAAACAAAAAGCCTAAAGCCACCAAAACTACTACTTTGGGCTTCTTAAATCCCTCAACTGGAAAAACAGATGATAAAAGGTTAAAAACCCTTTATCAGGAAAAATGGCCACTGTGTTTAAATGGCTCTTTCTCCAAAGCAACTTCTTTCCTTCTTCTGTTCGTTCATTTCTCTTCCTGCCCCACCCCCGCAACTCTTAACACATAACTACAGTAAAGCGGTTTTTCAAAACTCAGAAGGAACTGCAAAAACAATCGGACAATAAAAACAAAATAGTCTTCTTACCTATGAGAGGCTGGGGACGAGCATGGAGATAGGTCCTCTGTCTATCTCTGCTAACAGGTGGTGGTCTCAGTGTGAACTCAACTGACCTTGAACTATGTCAGGAATCAAAACCCAGGCTGACTGCAGTTTAAGCCTCAGCCTCAACCCCCAGTAAGACGTTCTATTCGGCTGGTCTCTTTCCACCGAACACCAGCGGCTTCTCTTTGCGCTCTCTGGACATGGTTACCCGCAGATGGAACCAGGCTGCTGCCGTGTGAGTAATCTGCTTGCTGCAGCTGCTTCACCGAGATAAGCAGATACAACGTCTGCCCTGTGACAGCGGTGCGGCAGACCAGGCTCGGGCGGAAATCCTGTATCCTAGGCCCTGCGCTGCACGGGGTCCCCAGTTCCCAGACGGCTGGCTGCCCAAGAGCCACCGGCAAAGGAACAGGAGGCCTGCTCCTCGGGCAGGAAAAGTAGGGCGTTCCCTTCCCCCCAGGCTCCACCAATGACCTAATGCCACCATGTGGGATGCTGGGCCATCGGCTGAGAAAGATACCGCCAGCTGTTCTGAAACCACCCTGACTCTAGGTGTGCTCAGGACACAGACTAGGATGGTGGGCAAAGAAAGGGAGTCTCAGGTTTATAAATAAAACAGACTTTGTCAGCACTGTGTGTCACGGTTCTCGAGAAAAAGGACTAAGACACGTGACTCAAAACATCTGCTCCATCCCTTTATCATTTTGGAGCACCTGGGATCTCAGTACTGTTTTCCAGGTTAGGAAAGTTGCAGCTGCTCCAGTGGGACAGAGAGAGCATTTATAGGTTCTGAGCTATCAAGCCGGGGCTCTGGAATACAGGAAGCAAAATCTGTCCCAGTCTGACATGACGTGTCTCTCCGGATGGTGTTGACTGGTAGCCTGGCAACCGACCCAGTGAACACACGGCCTCTAAACAGCAGCGACACTTGTGTTTTTACCAGCACATCCCAGAGACTCTGAAGGGAATCTATCCCTCAGACGGGTGCTCTGTACTCCGTGTGGCTTACCTGTCTCTGGTGCAGGTCCTTGGACAGGCAGAACCGTCTCTGGCTCCTCACTTCCGGCAAAGCACTGCTCAAGGCTCCCAGAGGCTTCTCCGCCACCACTACCCACCGGCGGGGTCTCCGCAGGCTGCAGGGCTCTCGTCTCCCCAGCGGAAGCACGCGCTGTGGGCTCTGTCCCTGGGCCCGCCTCCGGAGGCCTGGGCGGTGACCTGTGCCCGAGGGCCCCCCGTGTCATCAGCACTCCAGAGGCCTTGACTTGCTCTATGACAGAATCCACGATGCGGCTGGCAGCCTCCTCGATGGAGTCGGCACCCTCGAGCCGATGCAGGGCTTTGGTGGAGACGGTGCAGGGCAGAGCGGGGGCACCCCTTGCCTCACCCGAGGGCCCCATCTCTGGGGGGTGCTCTCCACCTACAGGCTGCAGCGGGTCGTGATGCGTCTTACTGTCCCCCTGGGCCTCCTGCGGGCCAACAGAGCCACAGTCTGCTTCCTCCAGATTCTTCTCCCCACCCGGAGGCGCCACCAGCTCTGTGGGCGCGGTGCCCTGGGGGTTAGTCACACCTGTGGCTGGTGAAGCTCCAGGCAAACCCAGGATCATATTCTCCTCTTGGCAGGACAAGGTGTCTGGGGCGTTGTGAGATATATCCTTTGTCCCAGCCCCGAGGACTTCTTGTAGACCATGAACCCGGGCACTGTCCAGCACTGCATCTCCACTCACCTCACAGCCGGCGCTCTTTCCCGGAGATGGGGTGTTTTCCACCTCAGCATCCGGAACTGAAGAAGCTGGACTGCAGTTCGGCGCCTTGGGCCCACCTGCTAACAGATCTGAGCTGCTCAGCTCTGCACCTAGGGCATCCTGGCTGGAGTCAGCAGCCAGACCGGCTCCTGGTGGCACCAGGCCCTGTGCGGCCCCACCTCCCGTCGGCCGGGAGGCTGCCGGGGCCACTTCCTTGTTGGGTTTAGTTTCTGCGTGAAGACGGGCCAAGGGTGTGCCCGGGGAGCTGCCGGGCTGCAGCGCTCTGTTCTCTGTACAGGCCGCTGCGCCGGGCTCTTCGGGGACCCCCGGGGCCTCTGGCGCAGGAGGTGGTGGTCTGCACTCTTCCCGCGATGCTCCTGAGCAGAGAGGGCCGTCCCCAGTGGCAGGACAGGTCCTGGCTTTACCCTCACCTCCTGGGCCCTCAGGAACCACCTGAGTTTTTCCTCCTTCGGTCACAGCGGCCTGACCCCCAGGAAGCAGCGCGGAGGTGGTGGGCCCCTCGACGGCCGGGGCTTCGGGGGCTGCTGAGAGGGAGGGGCGCTCCTGCTCCCCAGCGAGTCCTCCGGGGCTGGCGTTCCCCATGCCGGGCGGCGGGTCTAGGACCGCAGGGGGTGGGCCCAGGGCCGCTGCGCCGCCTTCTGGAGGCTGCTCCTCCGGACGTCTCGCATCTCCGTCAGGCCCATCTTCTCCATCTGTGTGTGGTTGGAGGGCTGCTCTTCCCTTTTCACTCTGGGAGGGGACGAGCGAGAGTGCGTCATCTTTGGTTACTGATTCACTGCCGGGACTGCCTGCCAGAGAGACAGTCCCGCCTGCTATCACAGCCGGGCCTGACGCCCCTTCTTTCTCAGCCTTGAGGGGAGCGGCCTGCGGGTGTGGAACCACCTCAGCTGGATCTGCTGACCATGTCTCCACTTTCAGAGCTTCTCCTTGGCTTTCTTTATCTGAAACTTGGAGAGAAGCATCCACACATTCTGGGGTGTCTGGGGTGTTCTGTGGGCCACTGGGGCAGCTGGCAGTGGGCGGGGGCCGCGTGCCGAGCCGTCCCGTGGTCGTGCTCTCAGGCTGGGGGGCTGTGTCGTCACAGTGTTCTGCAGGCGACACGCCACTTGACGCCCCTGTGCTGGGCTGACACTCAGGAACTGAGCGAAGCTTATCGCCCCCAGCTGCGGAGCAGACGGGTGACTCGCTGGTCTGGCTGTGAACACCAGATGACTCCACTTCTGATTTCGGGTTAGGTGTCACATCTTTGTGCGGCCCGGGCAAGGTTAAATCAGAGGGCGACCCTGGCGCACACACGCTGGCCAAAGGAGTGTTGGGTTGGAGCCCTTCTGAAACCTCGTCGCCTGCAGTAGCTGGAATTAACTGAAGATTCTGGGTTCCTGGAGTGTGAGCACTCTCTTCACAGCTTTTAGAAGTTTCAGTTTCTGCAGTCTGGTCAATGACAGCTTTGCCATTACTAATGGCAAGTATCGATTCTGCAGGTTTGTTAGCATCCAGGGGACTGGCAGCCAAGACACTGTCTGGAAGGCTGGCTCCATCCACAGGCTCGTCTGTGACTTTTCCGTCAGAGGCTCCAGCCGTGCTGATACTGGAGTCCTCAAATCGTTTCTTCATACTCTCTTCCACTTCAGGCATGTTCCCCCTGATGGTGGCATCAGGGTGCACGAGACCATGTTCCCTTTCTCCTGCAGCCTCGGGGGCGCTGGCACTTGCTGGCGAAGCGACCACCAGCTTGCCTCCAGAGCAGGCCTGGGCCACAGCCCCCTGCAGGACACTGCCTGGGGACGCCAGGTCAGTGGCCCCTGCCAAAAACGTAGTTTCTTCGTCTCTGACTCCACAGGACGGAAGGCCTTCTGGGCCCTCTCCTCTGCCATCAGGCAGGCTCTGAACGCAGCTGTCGGGAGCAGACGCCGCTCCAGGGTCTGTGGCAGGTGCTGGCCCCACCTCACCTCCTGTTCTCGCCACGCCCGTGCTCCTCTTCCTGCAGGAAGGGTCTGTGTCCTCCTCTGTGGCCACACCTGGCAAATCGCAGGAGCCCTCAGTCTGCCCCACGGTGCTCCCCTGGCAGCGCTGACAGCTCTCGGCAGCTCCAGGAGAGGCAAGCTGCAGGCTGGCTGTGTGCTCGGACGCGCGGGGAAGAAAGTGGCCATCTGCATCCTGGTCGTGGGGGGCACCTGAAGGGTCCTGTGCTGTCACCCCCGAGGGCGTGGGACTGTCCATCTGCTTGAGGTTTGTTTTCTAGGAGGAAATAGAAGATTTTTTTTAAAAAATTGACCATGAGAAAAGACATCACTGACATCTGTAAGTGAAAATTCTGTGGGAGAGAAGTCATTAGCATGTTAGCCCTTCTAAAGTCATGGGCTGAGCCAACCTAAGTAAGTGCCAATGGACGCGCCCTCGGGCCTGAGCTGGGTCCTCTGACAGCTGCAGTCGCTAGGAAGATAAAGATGCCAAGAAAAGACAATATGGCTATTTTCTATATTATCGACTTATTTTAGAAAGGAGATTAAAACTGAGCATCAAAAACCTTCTTTTTATAGGGGTTTTAGAGCGGCAGAGGCAGCTTCCGTCCTGCCTCGTATATACAAGTGAAAACAAATCCTGACCAGTCTGGTAAACTCTCTTCAATCACAAGCAACAGACACATGCTCCCATGCCCTGAATTCTTACCTAGGAGTTACACAGCATGCTTCAATCTCCAAACTAGGCTCTGTTCAATCTAGGTTAGCTATTTTAGTTATGGGGCTATAATAATTTCAGAAGAGTGGCATGATTCAATTCTTCCCTTGACTGATAAAAAGAGTTCCTCTACTACTGAATATTAAACAAACAACATATCAAACGAGCGACAGGGAATTCTTTGTTATTCTCAGGTGGTACCGTGGTTTGAGGATATTTTATAGGTCATCTCAGAAACGGGTCTTTGCAACTTGAGAAACAGACGTGACCAACTATATAGGAATGGTTAGAACGATCGCGGTTAATAACCTGGTGGAGGACGCTATGCTGTCATACATTCCAAATGTTAACAGTGAAGACCACAGTGAAATCAGAAAAAGGTATTTATATTGTTTTAGAAAATAAAACAGTTAATCTAAAGTTAAAATTATGTAAAAACCACAAGCACATGTTAGACGAAGCTTAGCGAAAAAATGGAGAGAAATAAAACACGTCTGATCATTAAGAGTGGGTCTACCTCTGTATCAAAGTTTCAGGAACCCTTATAATGACACTGTTTTTTTAATCACATGGTTTTCTTTCCTTATTTATTTTTCGGCCACACTGCACAGCCTGCGGGATTCCCGGCTTCCTGACCACAGACTGAAGCCGGGCCACAGCCGAGAAAGCCTGAAATCCTGACCACCCAGCCACCAGAGAACTCGCAGAGCTGTTTTTTCAAAAGCCTGGCTCACTCTTCACTCATCATTCGCTGTTACAATACTCCCGTGCACACACCGTGAGCCGCCGCCTCACTCCTCCACCCACTCGGCCCCTGTGCCTCCAGCCCCGACCAGCAGCCTACTCCTGTCGGCACGCTGGGTCTCATGCGAAAGGTCACACGTGGAAGTGTAAAACATGGCAGGCTCACTCAGGTCCTTCTAATAAGACAGTACGAGAATAACAGATTTTCACTCAACTCTACCGTGCTATGCTTCTTTAAGAGAACTCAAAATCGGTTGCTTCCTTCCTCCTGAGATGGTGACCAACTCCAAAGAATTATGAAAACAGGTCACTGAATTTAACAAAGGGTGAACATGACAGAACGGGGATTTGGAGGAAAAAAGTGGTATGGCTTGAAAATGCTCCTAACACATGCATCTTCTCATGGTTTCAATTTCTCATGGTTTCCAGGAAACTATTCCCACACCTTGTGGGTAGCTTTGGCATCTGCAAACTGCTGTTTCTGAATGGACTACCATTCACCCAGTAAGAAGAGGTCTAAAGAAAATCTGACTTTTCAGCCATCTCCAGAGGAAAATAAAATGACACCTAGTTTGGAATAAACACAACCTGGAGAGGCAGAGACGAGTGCGTCTACAACCCTGCTAGGAAGTGTCCTGGCCCGCCGGTCTCTGAAATAAGGGCTGCTCCCAGGGAAGACTCTGGCAGTGAGCTGACCCCAGATGACCTTAAATGAAATTACTGCCAAGAGTTTTCCAAATCAAATCAACTCTGAAATAAAATGGGTGGAAAAATTATCTAAACTTAGCCTTTTAGATGTTACGGCCAAGAGAGATGTATCCACATGACGTGTATATTATCCATAATAAATGCCACCAGGGAGTCTGTAATGTTTTTATGTCTGGCAACAACTTTATCTTGAAGGCTTGAGTGGATTATAAAAATCTTTATTTTTTTTAGTGATCTTTTTACCGCACATCAATTTAAATATAGCAACATGGTCATCACTCATTGAAAGAGTTGAGGAAAGACTGTTTCTTAGTAAATTTGGTTCCTGTTCTTTAGCAACCATCTCATAAACAGTTTAGCTCATTTTGTTTTATAAAGTTAAACCAACAAATTTATAGTGTTAAACAAATTTCCTTTTAAGCCAGAAAATTTTAGCTCTAGTTGTTGCATATTTCTCTGTCAGCAATGTATACGTGTATCTTTCATTATTTTAAAAGCCTGGCAAAAACCAATGAAAAATTTTCCCAGTCTCCTCTTATTACTACCCCAGTGCTAAGCTCTATCTCTATAAGTGCTGACACTGAACGCAGCTAAAACCGCTCCACAGGTTTCACAATCTCTGAGGGAAGCACGGTTATGTTCTAATTATGGCAAAGCTCACTGGGGGAAGGGGTGAGGGTACGAAAGACTGAAAATGGAAATTTTCTTCCTTACCATTAGCTGCTGTTGAATGTTCATAAGTTTAAAAATATGTCCAGTGCAACTGTCTCCAGGAAGTGGGGGCTCCTGGTGTGGCTCCGACTCGGAGGTTAGCATATAGACGTCCAACTCTCGGTGATGCCTCACAGAACAGTCTCCGTAAGGGATTTCATAGGACAAACTGCTCCAGGAGTCTGGCTCTCCAGCATCCTCCCTGGAAAGAAGCGAACGCTGGTTAAGGTACACGTAATGCATGTGTGTGCTCAGCTGCTCAGTTGTGTCCGAGTCTTTGCAACCCCGTGGACTGCAGCCTGCCAGGCTCCTCTGTCCATGGAATTCGCCAGGCGAGAATACTGGAGTGGTTGCCCTTTTCTTCTCCAGGGGATCTTCTTGACCCAGGGATTGAACTTGCATCTCTTAGGTCTCCTGCACTGGCAGGCGGGTTCTTCACTATTAGCACCACGTGGCAAATTCCAATACATATGTATATTCTCTATATAATACATGTGAATACACTGTAATATATATGTTAATATATAAAAACATAGTAATATAATATACATATATAGTCAGCCTCTCAGGCATAGGTTAAATTCCCTCTTATGTAAAATTTCTAACCTCACTGCTCTTTGAGGCTCTGCTCCAGAAAGTTGGTTTGCACAGTTCCCAGGTAACTTGGACATGTAACTTCACAAGAGGTCACAAATGGGCTAAATGGAAACTGCCGGATTCCTTCCTAAGGACGTTCTTTGATCAAGATAAAGAGAAGACTGGGATCCTAAGAGAGTTAATATTATGCTCACAAACAATGAGGAAATGTAAGGAGAATGCTTTTGCTCTGGTTTCCAAAAAAAGAAAAAAGAAAAAAGAAAAAAAGCAAGTCTTCCAAAGCGTTTGTCTTAAAACGGGTTACAGCATATGCTTATTGCAGCCAATTTTACTGAGAAGGGAAGAAATTAATCACTCCAATCTATGCAAGGTCAGTCCAATTTTTGTTTAAAACAAGTGGGGGTGTATCCTCAAAATTCTCAAAGTCAAAACTATATAGAGAAAAATACTATAATGTCTTATCATACTATACTTGTCAATGTAATTATAAAATCCTAGTTTGAATCAAGCGCTTGATCCCAATAACTTAAAATTATAACTTTTTAAATTTAAAAGATGACCAACTCAGCTCAACTCACATCATTGCAGATACACCTCATATTCAAATAAAGTGGAAAAAGGCATAGGTAAGAAAAAAAGCATTTCTGAGTCAGACCTCGAAACATGAAATCTCTTTACATGGTTCTAATAAACCAGCATGTTGACAAAGTGTCCCTGAGATTCTGGAAGAAGGCAGAAAGTGGTGTTGGGGATCACTATCACATTTTAAAAAGGAAGAAATGAAAGAATTCAGACATAACAGACATGTCATCTACTAACAAATATGAGAGGGAAACAATACTTCAACTCTCAAACCAGTGTTTCATCCACTAAATCACACCTGTCTGTCCTTAACAACTCACCAGGGAATACATGGACTTTGAAAACTAAAAATATGTTATAGTAGAAAATCTATAGCAAACTGGAGAGCCACATACTGGCTGAAGATGACAATTAAGGCTGTCCCAGAAGAAAACTATTACAATTTCCATACTCAAGCAAGACTCCCAACAGTCGCTTAAAATATGCCATGCTAAATCTCTCACACATTTACCAAGCAAGAGAGTGAGTCACTCAGTCGTGTCCAACGCTCTGAGACTCCAAGGGCTGTAGCCCGCAAGGCTCCTCTGCCGTGCGATCTTCCAGGTAATAATACTGAGGTGGGTGGCCATGCCCTCCTCCAGGGGAATCTGCCCAATCCAGGGGTCAAACCTGTGTCTCTTATGTCTCCTGCATTGGCAGGCAGGTTCCTCACCACTGCGCCACCTGGGCCAAGGTGACACTGTCACTAGCTCTGCTTAATTCAGACATGACTGGCCTATCTGCTTACTCAGATTACCACATACAACCTTGCTCCAACCAGGAAAAAAAAATTCTTTGATAACACAACTTAACTTATATAGTACCATACGGTATGAATCAAATACACAGCAAGCAAGAGGGGGCTGCTGGCCAAGGCAGAGGCAATTAAACAGTGATACAGTCCATTCCTGGCAAAATGGCATTTTCTACCAACCATGTCACTGATAATTCTCAAACTACTTCTTTTGTAGTATGGAAACCTTGGGAAATTCCCTGCTGGAACCACAATCTGCTTACCTCCTACCTCTCCCACGCTCTCCTGCCAGAGGAATGCGCGCCTGCTGCCACAAGCGCTAACCCTACAATCTCCCAATTCATCAGCCACGTGGAGTGCTGTTGCTTCCGAGCCCACCTGGAAACCAAGTACTAGTTAGTGCAATTATCCTCCCGCTGGCTTCCATGAATATATGCTGCTATGGACACTGTTCAAACCCACCTGACCTGTACGTCTGGGTAAACCCACCACCCAGCAAGTATTTACGTGCCAGTATTCTTTGTGCCTGTGAACCGACCCCAAATCTTTGTCCTGTGGGAGTTTGTGGACTTAGCAAGGGAGATAAGAGCAATCAAGATAAAATACCCAGTGTTCCGGAGACAGCAGGGGTGGTGGAAAAAATGAAGCAGAGATGAGGTTTGCAGTTGTAAATGTGGTGGGTCAGGGAAACCTCAATGAAGTGACACTGAGGCCAATACATTTTCTGCTCTGCATTCAGCACTGAAGCTTTTACTGGATCCACAAATAAAATCTGGCAAGGCTCCATGAAGGTGTGCTACAACATCAAGGACAATTGTTACTAAGAACTGGATACAACCTAAGCAAGTCAGTGACTAGAGGGCTATCTGACTAATTAAGGAACAGAGCTACAGAGTATTACCTTCGTGCAGTCTTACAAGTGAGTCATTCAGTTACATCCAACTCTTTGCGACCCCACAGACTCAGCCCATTGGGCTCCTCTGTCCACGGAATTTTCCAGGCAAGAATACTTGGGTAGCCATTTCCTACTCCAGGGGATCTTCCCAACCCAAGGATCAAACCCGCATCTCCTGCATTGGCAGGTGGATTCTTTGTACCACTGAGCCACCAGGGAAGCCCTGCAGACTATTCTGTAGCCATTAAATGTAACTGAAATAACAGTTCAGTAACGCTGCAATCTATATCCAGCAAAATGAAAAAGGCAAAAAGCATTAAGTATAAACAGTAAAGTGCACAAATTAAAATAGTGTTACAGTGGTTGGGTTATAGGTTTGCTTCTTCTGGGGGATTTTTGTTTTACTTTTTCTTTCTTTTTTATTTTTGGCTGCGCTGGGTCTTTGTTGCTTTTGCATGGGCTTCCTGTAGTTGCGGTGCACAGCTTTCTCACAGTGGTGGCATCTCCCGTTGCAGAGCACGGGCTCTAGGCACAAAAAGGACTTCAGCAGTTAGGGCCCCCGGGCTCCATGGCACTGGCTCAGCAGCTATGGCACACGGGCTCAGCTGCTCTGTGGCCTGTGGGATCTTCCCAGACTAGGAACTGAACTTGTGCCTCCTGCCCTGGCATGCAGATTCTTATCCAATGAGTCACCAGGAAAGCCCTCTTCTCTAGGATTTTAATTAATGTCTTAAATAATTTTTTAAAGTCCCTATTCAGCCAGGCCTCGCTGCTGCTCCGGACCGCTTTTTACTCTTGTGTGTTAATCCGTCCCCACAGAGGTTACCAAAATGTTCTCTAATTCCCTCAAAGACCCAACATTAACCTCATCCACTTCATCCTCAGGCGATCTTTTCTTTCTTCAGAGAGAGAAGTTCGAGGCCATGAACCAACATGAATTAAGTCCACCTTTGCCCACCATTAAACACGTCTGCCCGGCTCCTCTAACTTCAGGGCACCTCTCTGAACAGTGGGTTTGCCCTGCTCCCCTATCAACCGCCCTCAGGTAACCAATTCAGTCATCAGCCCTGGATGTCTATAGCTTCCCACCTGTTTCTGGAGCAGTTCCTTCCCCACCTGCCTACAAAGACCATGAACACCCCAGCAGATGACAGAAGGGGAGAAGTGTATGGGTGTCAGCAGCAATCTTGACTCAACCCTGCAGACCAGCCCCCAGGGGACATCTGACAATGTCTGCAGGCATTTTTCACTGTCACACGTGGGGGCGGGGTGGCTGTCCTCCAAGGCACAGGACGGCACCCTACCATACAACAAACAGTCATCAGGCCCCAAGCCATCAGTAGTGCTGGCGTTGAGAAATCCCTGCTGTAACCCCCTGATCTGCATACAACGCCCCCCTATGCCTTCCTTTCTGCCTCCCCACTGGCTGTTTAAACAACTAAAAGCTTTGCCATTTGGAGCCTACGCTTCCCTTGGCTGCTTGCCTGGAACGAATCCACCTGCCAAGTGCAGAAGATGCTGGTTCGATCCCTGAGTGGGGAAGATCCACTGGAGAAGTGGCAACCCACTTCAATATTCCTGCCTGGAAAATTCCATGGGCAGAGGAGCCTGGTGGGCTAACAGTCTACGGGGTTGCAAAAAAGCCCGGCATGACTTATTAGAGACCAGTGTCTCTCCTGTGGCTGCTAAGACTTTCCTGTCATGGGTTTCCATTGACAAAATAAACCCCCAAGTCCAGCGGCTTTTTTACCCACTGAATTTGAGTTTCGTAGAATCTAAAAATGGTGACCTGATTCTTCTTTGTAAAACTTTTTCTCACTTGATGCCCTTAAGAACCCTCCTATTCATCCACTGTTTTCTCTGGCTTTTTCTTCCTCTTCTCACACCTTAGTTGAACACGTGTCAACTTCCTGAACTTGGGCTTCTACTAAATGGCAGGCACTTTGCTAGACGCCAGGGCTACCAAGATAAGCATGATACCTTTATCAAGGATAAACAAACACCGTTCTAAGGTCAAACATGGGATTTCTGTCTGGTGACCACAATGTGGCTTACTGCTGTTACTGCCACCTCCGTGGAAACAAAAAGCAGAAAGAATCTCATGGGGGTTTTACCCCTGTGTGGAATATTATGCACTAAATATATTTCATTGACATTACAATGCTGTTACTTGCAATAATAACATCATTTTTACGTATTACTAAGGAGGAAAATAATGGTTTTGAGTTAAATTATGACACAAGCTCGAAAAATATGTATCTTAACAGAGATAACAGAGTACAAACACAGTCAACTGTCTCTCTAAATACTGGCAGGGGTGGTACAAACAGTTCAA